ATTATTTTTCATTTTTTTCAAATTCGAGGTTTTCTAACGTATAATAATTTGAAATAATTTTAAAGGTTAATAATTGTCAATGGATTTCATTCAAGGTCATATGTAATATAATCATTCCATAATTGAGCATAATTGTAATATTTAGAGATGGACTTGGACTCCTTGACAACGACTGGCCTGGAGAAATATGCTCCGCACAAAATAAATTCTTCTCCCAAGAAAATGATTCCTTGGCAAAAGTAATTTTTTTTTCTCAGTGTAGGCTTGAGCAATTGAAAGTATATTTACTATTAATAATTTATGTGTTAAATTATCGTTTTTTGGGAGGGGTTGGGGACTGGTGGGGTATGGGGTGGCTTTTAGATTATTTTATTTTTTGAATTGTGTTGGGAATTTTATTTTTGGGAGTTCAAGGGATGTTCGTCGTTTGATTGGGTTTGGAGATTTTTAAACGTTTAATTTTTCGATTAAATTGGTGAAATAATCAAACCGAAAATTGGAGAGAATTTTTGTCGTAATTTTGGCCTATAAGAGTGCAGTATTCGAAAAAATTCGAAATTAGAGAATTGGATCTATTGATTTGTATTTAGGCTTGAGCAATTGAAAGTATATTTACTCTTAATAATTTATGTGTTAAATTATCGTTTTTTGGGAAGGGTTGGGGACTGGTGGGGTATGGGGTGGCTTTTCCATTATTTTGTTTTTTAAATTGAGTTGGGAATTTTATTTTTGGGAATTCAAGGGATGTTTGCTGATTTGATTGGGTTTTTAGATATTTAACCGTTTAATTTTTCGATTAAATTGGTGAAAAAATCAAACTGAAAATCGGAGAGAATTTTTGTCGGAATTTCAACCACTGAGAATGCAGTATGTGAAGTTTTTGTATTAATTTTGATCAAAAAAATCATGTTTCGTTACAGGAGAAAATTGGGAATGAAAGAATTGGACCGATTGCTTCATATTTAAGTTTAAGAAATTGAAGACATACTTATTATCAATAATTTACGAGTTAAATTTTATTTTTTTGGGAGTGGTTGGAAGCCGGTGGAGTATCGGGTGGGTTTCGATTATTTTATTTTTTAAAATTCCATTGAAAATTCTATTATTGGGGTAATTCAAGTGATGCTTACCAATTTAATTAAGTTTGTACATTTCTAATCATGTAATTTTTCCATTAAAGTGTTGATAAAATCAACCTGAAAACCCGAAAAGAATTTCCGCCGTCGGAAGAAGACAATGAAGTTACAGAAATATGCTGTCTCGAAACTGACCCCCGAATTTCAAAATTTCCTTGACAATAATTCCCCAAATCTATTACGAATTAGCAAGAATAATTGCTAGGATTGTTATATTCCATTCGGATGAATTAAAAAGTAAGTCCCGACTACTTGCCACCGGTGTCCCATTATCCATCCCCATAATTGGCATCGTGCTGGCGATATTTCTCAAAAAAAATTGTCTCGTCATCCCGTGTAAATGCATGTGGAGAGGGATGAGTGGAAGCTCGAGGAGCGTCGGCGTCGGACATATAATACAGCAGGCCACCGAATTCCTCCCGAGTCCCTCTCTCCCTCCACAATCACCGCACACCAATGCATTCAGCGTCTTTCGGGCACCTGTGTCAGGCCCCTCTCCATCCCCGTAAGTGCCTTCCAGCGATTTGATACACCCTTCTTGCCAATTTTCAATGGTCGATGAAGATGATTAATTGCGGATTGCGAGTCAAAACCGAATTATTTCAAATTAACTGAAGCAAATTGCAACGGAAATAGATAAACACATTGTTGACAATTTTCAAGTACAGATAAAAAAATTCAATTCATGAAAGTATTTTGTTTGATCATCATTTAAATTAAAATTATTATTAATTCAGTTAATAAAAGATTTGACGGCAAAATGCACAGGTCCATATTGTAGAAACTAGTGTATTTAAGACGTCTTAATTTAAGACATTAGACACAAAAGTGTGGCTTATTGGAATTTCGAATGCCAAAAATAAGAATGTTTTTTTTTTCAGGCAATAGTTGAGAAAAAAATTAATGAATTATTTGGAAAAAATGAGATATCATATGTTTTAAACAAGACAGTTGTTCATTGAATTTTTAGAAGGCATGTGAGACAATAAAAATGACTTAAATTTGGCGACAAAATTTTCTTGAGGATATACAAGTATTCAGGCATTTTCAATCATCAAATTTGTCAATTAAATTGCGTAAGAAAATTTTGAAAAAAATAATGAATATTCAGCGTTGTTCAAATTACATTTTACACAGAATCATTAGTTTTAAACATTCTTTGTTTGTAAATAAATAAATACAATTATTTAAACTTTCGGAAACCTTATTTTTCTAGGCATGAATTAGATTTCGGGTAAAATTCTGAATATGAATAAACTTGTTACGATTCCGAACAAATAATTTTACGGTGATTATTTGTAATTTTTTTTATAGAAAATGCTCGTAATTTTCAAAAACTGAAATTTTGACATTATTTCATCAATCTTCGTGCAAAAGTAAAATTTCTAAATTTTTTTTTAGATTTTTAAAATGTTTTCCAATGGTGCAATATCGAGATTCAAATTCAGTCCTAAAAAGTTTAAGAAATGAAATTATTGTAAATTTTCCGGAAATTTAGGGTCAAATGGGGCTCAAATGAAAGCTCGGATGTTCGATTAGAAAAGCAGAAAAGTATTTCACCGGAGAATAAATAGCCAAATACTTGGATATCCTTAATTTCAGACATTGAATTATTGATTGACAAATTAATTGAAAATTTGAATATTCAATTAACAATTAACTTAATAATTAAAAAATAGTTGGGTAATATTAACCAATTAACTACTGAAAAATCCAACTCAATTTCAAATTGATGATTGTACCGACGTCGCGACAAAAGTGTCTGACGCCAACTTTAGAATATTCCTCACACTTGATGTTAATTTCAAAAGTGATGAACAATCAACTCCCCATTCCATTACCAACCTCGGGTGGTCCACATCTCCCTCGCCTCAAAATCAATCCACACTTGAAATCACCTCCGCACTAATAACTTGGAAATCTCCCAAACCCCATCCCCGAAATACATCAAAAAGCATCGAGTAGACGTAAAGAGCGATAAAAGACGGCTGTTGAGTTGTTTCGAGATGTAACAAGAGGGAGTTGAAGTCCGATTAGTAACGAAAACACACGGACTTTCCTCCCACACTTATTTTTCTCCCTTTCATCGTAGAAAATGTCTCCCTCATTCTCCTCATCCTCAGTTCCCCCAACTGGCACCGGGGAAAACTGTAGGATCGATTCAGCGTCTCCAACGTCAAAAGTAGAGGGAGTTACACCCGCTGTTCACCAACTAAAATTCCTCGTATTGTTTCCATCCACTCAAATCACACGTTTATCGTAAACACATTATCAACTGAGATTCTCCAAGTTCCCCCCCGAAGCACCTTTCATTCCCAAATAAAAACATTATTTCGTTATGGTGAATGAATAAAAATTGAGGATTAATGACTGTGTCTGGATGTGACGCTCGTTGGAGAATGAATCCCTTTCATTCGTGCATTAATTATCTGAATAAAGGCCGTTGGTTAATGACTGGCTGAGTCAACGAGCTGTGTTAGAGATTATTATTAGCGCGTTGTAAACATGATGCGGATGTAGCGACGTTTAACACCTCCGTGTATTCTACTGAATGTGTCGTTTCCTCTCTCGTCTCTCGACGTTATTATATCCTATCATTTATTGTGATCGGTTGAATTTCAATCGATTGTTATCTGCAGTGATATTGCTGGGGTGCTCTCGTTTAAGGATATCCAAGCAGTTCGGCCAATTTTTTCGGGGGGAAATTCTCGTCAGAATTTATAGAACAGGGAAAGAGTATTCTTTAGGCGCAATATTAATCTTGTTTAGACCAATACCAACGAATGTTTATAAGCAATTAATTTTTCACCATGAAAGTCAAGTCAAGTTCGGAATCGTAACAAATTTATTCGTGTTCGGAATATTTCCATAAATCGATTTCATGCGTAAAGGATAACGTTTCTGAACGTTTAAACAATTTCAATTATTCATTTATGAACAGGGAATGTTTAAAAAAATAACAATTCTGGGCAAAATGTAACTTGAATACCGCTGAATATTCACTTTTTCACTTTTCAGTTTTTTCACTTTTTTCAATTTTTCTCATGTAATTTAATTGACAAATTCGATGACTGAAAATGGTTGACTCTAGAGTGTGGCCTGTACCAAATTTGAGTCTCGCCATTGAACCCTTACAAAACATTTTAAAAATCTGAAAAAAAATTGAAAAGTTTACTTTCGGAGGAAGATAATTAAAAAATTGCAATGCTTGAAAATTACGAGCATTTTCTGTAAATAATTTATAAACAATTCATTTTCCACCATAAAAATCATGTGTTCGGAATCGTCATAAACTTATTCATATTCAGAATTTTTTCATAAATCGATTTCATGCCTAAAAAAATTAGTTTTCCGAAAGTTTAAACGATTTCAAGTATTTATCCATAAACAACGAATGTTAAAAAAAATTATAATTATGTACAAAATGTGATTTTAAACCCGCTGAATATTCACGATTTTTTCAATTTTTCTCACGTAATTTAATTGACAAATTTGATGATTGAAAATGGTTGAATCTACAGTGTGGTCTGTACCAAACTGTAAAAGATACTTGGATATCCTTAAACATAAGTTATTGGTTGATCGATGTGTGATTGAACTGATTGAACCTTTTGACTCTGACACTTGACAATTTGTCGCAATCAGTTTCATTTCAGAAGTTGATTTCATGTTCACACTACGATAAAACACGATCTACTCCAGCAAAACGGACTTCTCGAGCCAAATATATCACGTCTCGAGGGAAAATCGCTTGGCAAAATAATTTCTTGAAGTTCACGAGTTGCTTATCCATTCTGTATAAAAAATTTCGGCATCTGTTGCTCTTTTATTAATCAATATTCTCTTTTTCTCTGTTTAAAGCAGAATACAACAGCAATCTGGCCAAGGAAATGGCGGTTCCCGTCGTGCCCTGAGTCCCAGCCCAGGCGGCAGCGACACAGAGGACTCAGACATATCCCTGGGTGGTACATCACCCCCATCGCCATCATCACCACCGCCATCGCATCATCAACCGTCGCCAGTCTCTCTCGGTCCAGTTGGACCACTACCACCCCCATCGCTCAATTTTCGATTTGACGCCGGCCATACGCATGCATTTCGCTTTACCCACGCGACCGCCTTCAAATTTCCAGCGACGGGTTTTCGCTTTGGGCCACACAGTCCTCAGCACAATCATCCAACGATTCCCAGTACAGGGGGGATGTTCAGGCTTACGGACACAAGTCCATTTCAGGCCGTCGGACCGCGGGACGATCTGGGGTCGAGGTGTGTATGAAATTTATCATTCATCACATCAACGATAGTGAAGGTTTTCAGTGATTTCGTGAAGAGAACCGCAAAATTTTAGCAGAAAAACTTTTATTCTTGTTTAAACTAATTGCCGACACTCATTTTTAAGATATGACAAGCATCTTTGAGGCGAAACGGATAGATTTTTTTTATTTTCGATGAAATTGTTTTGTCTCTGCAATAAAGAAGCTCAAAGCCTTCAATTTCAATTCCCGAGAAGTCGACTAGTGATGTTGACAAAGAATCGTGAATTTTTCCATGAAATTTTGAATTTTCCATGACGAGACTCTCTGGCATTTCAGTGGAACTATAATGCGATTAAAAATTTAAATGATATCAAATTCAGGAGGTGAAAGGTTGATGAAATTGAAGATTTTGAATGATTCCATTTAAAAGACTGGAAAATTTCAGCAGAAAAACTTTTATTTTTGTTTAAAGTGATTTTCGAAAATAATTTTTAACACTTGTCATGCACTTTTGGAGCAAAATAGGTAGCATTTTTCATTATTTTGGATGAAATAGTCCTATTTGCGATAGAAAATCTCACAATCTTCAAACTTATCAATTCCCGACAACACCGTTACAAAAAATTGAAATTTCATGGACAGTCGACTAGAAATCTTCAGGAGAGTGACACTGAATTCGATTTTTAAGGAGAAAGAAATCATGAAATTTTAAAATTCCCTGAGAATTCAAGGCAATTCCGAATTTTTGAGCAGCAGAAAGACGAGAACTCCTCCACTTCATTGAATTTTCACTCAAAACATGAGTATTCAGTACCAAATTACACCAAATTTTCAAATCAAAGAGAATTCAAGAAAACATTCCATAACGCGACTTGGAACCATAACGTGCCAAAATTCCCAATTAGTACAGCGGAAATTTCATCCAAAAATTGTCAACAGTGAACGATATCAATCTCAGGCCCAGAAACCTCAACAAACTCACAAATTTCAAATAATTGCATTCAAAGGGAAGCAAAATTTCAGCACAAAAATTCGCGCAGTCGTCTCTTTTTTCAACTTCACATGAAACTCTCCGGTCTTTTTATGAAGAGCCTCACCCCTCCCCAACACCTACTCAATCCAAAAGCCTAACGAGCCCTCAAATTCTGATGTTTCCAGATTGCCGGAGCCTCTAGGACTGCACCCCCCAAGATTACACCACCACGAGACGATTCTCCACCACCCCCACCCCCAGCACCAACTCCCAGAGGGTATATCGAGGCTATCAGACGCCTCGAGACTATCGGACGGGGGTATATCCCGGCTGTCTGACAGCCTGAGCGAGGCTCACAGTCCGCCCCTGGTAGCGACCAACCTCTCAGTGACAGGACCACTGAGAGTGGCTGTACCAAGTCCCCACACCCCGTCGTCCCGAGGTAGTCCACCGAGTCAAACGTCCCACCATATCCAGCAGAAGCCCGGACAGGGTCTTATAAGAGTGGCAACACCACCGATTAATCCAAAACCACCGCAAATTCACAGGCCATTCTCACCAGCGTGATAGAGTCATCAGAATCCTGTAACCTCGATCGGGGCATTGTTAAACGGATGAATCATCATCACGATGATCACCTCCAATTCTGTAAATATCTACCGTACATCGCGATGTCAAACGATCTGTTTTTTAAATTTAACTGTAAATACTGATTTAATGTTAAGAGAAATGAGAGAGCGGAGAATCATACGGGAAGTACTAGAAATCAACTCAATAATTATTTTTTCTTTTCCCCCCCTCGTCATTAATTCACTGCCCAGTCACCGGGTTTGCAATGTCATACAGTAAAATTGATGGTTAATTCCAACGGTTTGTAAATATCAAGTACCTTCAGTCGTTGCAAAACACTTGTTCTTTTGAGGGAACACGTAGAGCTCGGATTTAATGACACCGTTATAAAATTGTGTAATCTGTCATACGCTGAGATAATCCAGTTCCATTTTTTTTTTCATTTCTATTGACTTCCATTCGATAATCCGCGAGAGACACGAGACTGATTCGCGGTGATCCCCTAGTGGCAATTTTTTTTTGTTTATTTCTTTTTTAAGAATTCAATGACAAGTCCAGGCTGTTTTAAAAGTGCATGATCATTAGTAAATTATTGGTGAAATCCAGAGGATTCACATTCAGGTAATTGAATATTTTTGGGAAAAGGGAGAGTAATTTCTATAAAAATTGACTCCTGAATTCTGGTAACTGGGTTAAATACCGATTTCGAAGAAATCTTTACTGGAATTCGACGAAAAATTGAATAAATCGAGTAAAAGTCGCAATTTTCAGGTGAAATTTTGACTTGAATATCGCAAATTTCAACAAAAATACAACATTTTATCCAATAAATGATTTCTTTTTTTTATACGTATTGCATTTTTCGCTGGAGTTGTGGTTAAAACCTCGGAAATTTTTAAACGAAATTATTCTTCATTCCCGTTTTCTCAGAAAATTCTGCAAACGCTAAATCTCCAGTCTGGACAGTCTACGAAACGACAACGAAAGTCTGTAGTCGTTTTATCGTAAAAATATCCCAAATTGTGTTACAATTTTCCTAGTCTCAAGGACTCGAGACGTCATTTCGTTATTGACTATTGTAATCAACGCAATGCCAGTACCATCGGAGTCTTCATTTTCCATCATCCAATCCCCTGCCTTGCTCCCCACTCGCCCTGTACAAGTCCGTCATTAGATTAAGTAGGTCTAGCGCAGCTTGAAAAATACGATTATCGTACGGATTCGCTAAAAAAAAAATTACTCTGGGAGTAAAACAAGAGGTGCACGACGAGATTGAGGAGAGGAATAAATGAGTATTAGAAAAATAAATGGAGTAAAAATACGAATTTCACGGATGATGGGAGGGAGAGAATCAATAAGCGATTGCTTGAAAAAAAGAATGAAAATCCTCTCCACGCAGAGCGAAGGACAAAGCCTTGATGGCACGCTTCTCTGGGAGATGAGGAAACAATTCGAAATCCAAAAAAAAAATTAATGAAAATCGTTATGCCTATGATAGAGCGAACAAAATTATTTGTATAGGTCGAATCCTTATACATACTGAACATACTAGTACGTAATGATATCTAGGTTATTAACGTAAACAAATTAATTATATAAAAAAAATTATACATATTATATATATGAACAAAAGAACCTTATTGATATTCATTATTAATATTATGAAAAACTATTATTATTTGCGCCTGTAAATAAACTCACGCGAAAATATATTAACAGATTATTATGAATCTAAGAATGTCGTTGATTATTTCTACTTTTCATGCACGATATAATTTCGTTGAAAAACCTAGACAATTCTATAGATAATGTCCTGTAGAAACTATTTAACAAAAAAATCTGTAGAATTTCGTATTTCCATTGAAACATTTTCTGCGAGGATTCATTGCCACTCCATTTTTTTTTTCGTTTCATAAAAAATCGAACAAGAAAACTTGGAAATTTTGAGCCGAGCAATTTCTATAGTCAATATCTCAATTGAATAAATTTTACAGAAAAATCAAGTTCTGTTGATTTTTTCTATTGATTATTTTTCCAATCCAAATATCGGGCAATATAATTGGCCCATTCGACATCACGTGGTACAGGCTACAGGGTTTTCAATTGATAATTTTTTGATAATTTTCTCTGGTAGTTGCTATATAAAAAACAAAACATCATGCAGTTGAATTAACCTCTCGTCAAACTGACAGATTGAATTCGATTGTGTCGTTGTGTTAATTATACAATTTTCGTTTCTCAATTGTGAGTTTCGTCTCATGGTCCAATTATATTGTCCGACATTTGGATTGGAAAAATAATCCCCCGAATACCACACGAGCTTCAAAATTGATCGGGCATTTTCCTCAAGGTTCCCTGTAAACAAACGACTCCTTCGTTTGTTTGCAATGAACCTATCGGAAAATACCCGATAATTTTGAAGCTCTTGTGGTATTACAAGTGAATAATTTCAATTAAATATTACTATTAAAAAAAAAGAACATTCATCGAACTAAAATTTAAATAGAAATCCAATAGAATTTTCTATAGAAATTCCTCAAGATGATTTTTTTACGTTTTTTTCATTTCATTTTTATTCTTTTTTCATACAAAATTTCGTTTTTAAACTTGGGAAATTCCAGTCACGGAATTTTTTCTATAGAAAAATATATCAATAAAAAAAATTGTATAAGAATATCAAATTCCAGACGAACTGCCGAATTTTTCTATAAAATCGGCTAAAATATAGTAGAAAATTCAATAGAAATCCAATAGAATTTTCACCAGGTTTTTCAATGAAAACCGAATTCCTCTTTTCCCCTCGTTTTTTGATAGTGAGGGGAGATAAGATGGGGCTTTCTGGTTGGATGATAATGCTGGTCGTGTGGGCGTGGGGATCGCTGACAAATTTAACCAATGGGCTTTCGTCGCATCCCTGTAACTGATCCCCATAGGTTAAACTCCACTCGTTAAAAGCCCGGCGCATGCTTTCGCGAGTGTTTCCGAACTTCAATCGCCCCACCGTTATCATCATCAATTTAATTCCTTCAAACCCCGAAAAAAAATATTGAATTCGAGTATTTTTTTATCCTTTCCATCAGTGAAAATTTGTTTCATTTCGTGGGTTCAAATCATGGCCTAATGTTTCCGTCAACAACCTCGTGACAAAGGACAACCCCTCATTGTTAAAGGGGAAAGGACTGCTGCTCGTTTAGGATGACGAGAGATATATCACGATTCTGGGATAATCATTGGTCCATCTAAAACGGTGGAACGAATTTCAAGGGGCACAAAACCAATACATATGCTTCCATTCTCGTCCCCCTCTCTTACAATTTTCGCTTCAACCCCCGTAGTGAGCACTAGCTGAATGACACAGCGTCACGCTTTTCGCCTGGGCGTGTTTTGACAGTTGCTGCTCCGACACCTCTGGCACATTCATTAGATAGTGGTTCTCATTTTTAAAAGCGGTAAGTTGTTTCAATAGGTTTTCATTTTATTCCATTATGAGTTATGATCTCTCAAGAATTTTCAAATATTTGAATTTATTATCGAATCAGGTGTTGAGACTGTTCAATTTATTGAATGAATTCTCTTTTTCTTCTGTTAATTATAATTACTCAAGAATAATTATAATTAACAGAAGAAAAAGTTAACTATAATTATTCTTGAATAATTATCATTAAATTTCAAGTTTTAGGTAGAAATCAAGGAAAATCATGAGTTTTCATGAATACTCAGAACCAAAATTACATTTTCAATTTTTCCCTGAATTTTCCTGATTTTTCGGAATTTGCACGGAATAATTGAGCCGAAAAATCAATCATTTTGTTTTTCAGATCATGCGAAAAAAAAATCAATGGAATATTTAATTTCTCAATAACAAGATTTCCTGAAATTTTAGTGGAAATTAAACATGATAAAAATTTCCACTATTTGACACGGAGAATTGAGACGAAAATTTTCAACAGTATAAAAGGCGAATTTTCAGAAAAACATGGCAACTTTGAGTTTGAATATACAATTAAGGATAACACTAAACATAGAAAATCTCACGGGACTTCTTAATGTATACAGAGAAGTGAAATTTCACTCTGGCGTTTTGAAGTTGTTGACGATTGAGTTTGATCATTGAAATTTGTCGAGATATTTTCGAGTCAAGGGGTTGAGAACCCAGATGAGGACCCCAGCTGTCCGGATTTAGATGTTTAGGATAATGCGGTGTGGTTGGAGAACCTCACAACAAAATAATGTAGTCCACTCTGAATGGCAGAGACCCGAACCGAGGAGTGAGCCAGGCCCACGACAAAGACACTGTTTCAATTCCCGTAGGTGAAAACTCTCCCTATATTGGAATGAAGAGAGACGGAGAAGTGAGACTGGCAACAGTGGCATGGAGTAACAATTTCTCTAGTGGTTATTTGTAGACAGATTCGACACCTCGACAATACCCGTGGAATCATAATGGATCTCGTCTTTTTTTTTTGTAATGGACCGGGTCTCAGCGAGATTATGGTTTTGGACCCCAGGTATTTGTTGTGGAGGCCCTCTGTCCCCATGGACGGTTGGGATGCCACGAGGCCAGAGAAAGAAAGGTGTGAAAAACCAATGGGGATAAATCTCGAAAGGATCTACGGTTTTTTTTTCTCCTCGAGATCGTTTCGTGCTCATTGTTGCGGTAAGAAGTTTTTCGTATTTTGGGATATTTCGATCTTACAGCCACTTCTTCCGGCTACTAGATTGGGGATCATGCCCTCTTGGATGCTCGAGGAGCATGATAATTTAGGGTGAGAAGAATAATATTTACGGGGTTTTTGTGATATTCTTGTCGATTAGAGGGGAATTGTATACTAATCTCTTAAGAATTCATTTTATCAACTATTTGTTCTGTTGAATAAATATTTTCATCATTCTGTATATATGTGAGATATTTGTGTACGAATTCGTCAGATTTTTAAATAAAAATAGGTAAAAAATGCCACACGCTAATGGAATGATTCATTTATTCCGAACACGATTCGTTAACTATTAACGAATAATAGAGTTGAATGGTTCACTTGTAACGAGAATGTCGAGTCAAACAAGACTCCTCAAATATGCATTTGTTGACAATAACTAATCCTTTCTATCAGTGCGGATAAGTGAATTTTAGGGATCGGCAATAATCATTAGTTTAGAAATATTAAAATGAGTTTAGCACAAAATAACTGAAATTAACTAATTTTTATTGAAATTTGAAAATAATTTGAATCTCTAACAGACTATTACAATTTTTGAACACGTGATTCGAAATAGCTGAATTTAATTTTTCGATTAATTAAATAATTTTCAAGCTTTCAATGTCAATTGTTGATTTATAAAAAATATTAAAAAATTTGAAAATTATACAATACAGTGAACTGATTTTTTGTGTAATGAAATAATTTTATTCCGACTTTATGATTATGCCAAATTCTGGAGAATTCCCTAGAAACTTCTTTTAAATTTTCATTAAACGCTCTATTTGTTTATGGATCATCATATCTGTGCTTTTTTATTCAATGTAAATATTTAATGAAAAATATTCTGCAGAGAAAATCCATAGAATTAAATTTTTCTATACAACTTATACAATTCAGATTTTTTTGCAGCAATTCCTCTACATTAATTTTCTAAGTTTATTTCGTTCGATTTTTTTCATGAAAAAAGAAACATAAAAAAGTGAAAAATAATTAATGTCGAGGAATTTCTATAGAAAATTTTCGCAGAAAGGTAAAATGGTGTTTTTTTTCCTAAAATAATTTCCATTGAACATTTTCATTAAAAAAAAACCCACTCAGTAAAGCTGCGGAATTCTGCAAATGAATTAAAAAAAGGATAAATCGCTGGGCTAATTAAGATTTCATTAAATAACGAAAAATACTCAAATAAAGATCTTGAGAGGAATTGTTCCAATGAAAAATCCTAACGAATAAAAGTTTCATATTCCGCAGCAGGGAGAACTCGCAACTAGTAATTCCAAAATTAAAAATGAAAAGATATCGTCTTACACTCATCAATACCATAGACCCCGGTTCAGTAGAGGTTCACACGGGGTTAATAAGAGGTTAGATATAACTTGGCATTAGGATACCATAATGCGACATTGGCCCTGCGCACATTTAATTTAAGTATATCCCGTTGTGTACGCGATTTCAATGGGGGTGTGTCCCCGGTCCCCCTTTTTCGAGTTTGAGATTATGGGGGTAACTCTCGCATGGGAAACAAATAATATTTTCTTAGCTGCTTTCACTCGGCAAAATTTCGCATCCAAACAGGGAAAAATATTTTTCCAACGCAAATTAGAGATCATCACACGCGATATAAAAATTTGTGATGAAAAAAAAAAGTGGCTAGATGCATTTTATCTCTGAAATTTCAACATGAGAGAGTCAATGTCAGATTTTCTCCGGCACAGGGCTTTACTTCGGGGGTATCCCTGGGATGTTTCAGGCGTCACTGCCCCTCCGAAGTTACTAAGCCGCTTAGTACTATGAGGTTTATGTTGTGCCAATGGAGTATCCTAACTCCATCACCTTATGTACAAAACTCATGTTCCCCTAATACCAAAATGTTGGGTATTATCCGATTCCTACTCCGCATATGGTGGCAATACAACCACAATTCAAGCCACACGGGGTTGAGGCTTGAAATGTTTTACTCGTGGTAACAAAACTCTCGTTAAACACTCATT